CCTTCCACCTCTTACGGTGTTGAAGATATTCGTGTTGTTGGCCGGCGCAGTTGCTATATTCTTCGCCAACCAAGAACAGTGGCAAATCAGCCTGGGAATGAAGGACCTTTCGAAGACGCAAGATTCCGCATAGCAACAACTCAGCTTCTAATCAGATTTTTCAGATTTCTTCATATATGCGCCTGTTGTGTGCAGTACGGCGCCGTATACAGTGATGACCTAACGACAAAAGATTAGAGATACAAAGCACGCTGTCAGTATTTAGATCTCACTACAATCAGAAAGCGATAATGACAGATCATAGATTAATCAAGATCAAAAGGGAATTCAGTGCAGTGTACAATCATACGCACAACCGAAGCTTTCCTCGGCGGCGTAAGACAATGTGGTCTCACATTGACTTTGCCGGAATCGTTCAGAACAAAAATAGTCCACCCTCTGTGGGCGCAACAAAGCTCAGAAACTGCTGCTTAACAGGTAGAGTAGGTAACCCTACAATTAGCAAATGGGCAAACTCAACGGTAACTGAAACCTAGGAAGAGTAAGAGTAGGATAATAGTTGCACATGTAAGTCGTGTTTTTGTATTACGTCGTGGTTGGAATGACAGAGAAGTGCGGTGCTCCAGATGTCAGACGGTCGTGTGGCGTATCTTGCGAGCCGCTCCCTCTAAAATAGCAAATCACCGATCAGAAATCGGCTTCCGCAGAGCGTCCTTGCACTATGAACATCGACTGGAAAGGTCTTCAGTGAAGTGTTTCGTGCTGAAGACAAGCAGATCTATCATAGTATGATATGAGAAATTGATACACATAAAAGATGTATAGCTTAATTATAATCGACAAAGTAGCATTTATATTATCAACACTTCTCTTCAAAAAGCTAGTTGTATTACTATCTTTTAGCTCTTACACTTCATTTAAATCTATATACGACATAGAAGACAATAGATCTAAAAATCAGATCTTTTTAGTTACGTATCTCTGTGGCGGCAAATGGGATAAAACGGTAGTGTCTGTCCTTTCATTAAACCTGAGATTGTTGCACTTGGGCGCCAGGCCGTCGCATATACCTGAGCGGAGGCCGACTTGCTCACGGGATACATTCTGCCTTACAGACTATGTGCATCTACATGCGTGTGATAGTTACTACACTGTGGACTGTATAAGCACTCGTATTTATTGGAATAAATGATCAAAGATAAATACACTTGATTTAGAATCACTTTATCTAAGGAGGGTCAAGGGTAAACTGTGGATCGTGTCTGGCTCCATGTGTTTCGCGCGTGTACAAAGTGCTGCGTAGAGCCATATGGCGAAGCTGATTAAGACGATGTCTTATAGCAGCCAAAAAAAGAAGAAAGCAAATGCTTGCCATATAGCTAAGGGCTATGATCCGCGTACGCTAGTTAGCGACTCGCTTGGAAACGCTCTATCTGCCTTCTAAGACGAGTCTGGACTCTCTGTTGTCTATTTCTCAGGGTTAGACGTTCGCAGTTCTTAACGTCTCTGTGCTAGAGCTCTTCCTTGTACAACCCGATGATTTTGAAGTGTGTTCGCGAAAATGTGTTCATTGTGAAAAGGTGCATGCGTCGTCTGTTTTTGGAATGGATAGAAGGTAGGACTAAAGCTTCGCCCGGTGTCTCGTGCGTTGCTTTTAGTATATCCGATTTTCAATCTCATGATTCTGTATGATGTTTTTGATTCTTTTTGCTTGGACAATTGTGCGATCGTTATGTTTATATTACTTCTGTCGTTTTGTTGTAGCTTGGTTATGTTGTGTTTGTAGATTGTGATCGTGCTTTCTTAGACGCTGTGTAGAGTGTGTTCATTTAGCATTGTACGCTTCCGTCCCATAGCAACTCAGATGCATGTAATATCAAATATATCTCGTCTTGAAGATACAGTGATGCTATCGTCGTTGGTGTCTTGGTGTGACTGTCCTGAGCCGTGTTGTCGTGTGATCCTTCGTCGGCGCTCTAGTACTTATTTCATTGCGAAGTCAGCTTATTGTGCCCGCGAGACACACCAATCACCATGACTTTCATCCCTACGCTTACTTCCTTCGTACTATTAAACAGAGGAGTTTGTAATGTCTACAGTGGAGAGGCATATGGTAGGAGAAAAAAAATCCTGCAGATGTACACCTGGTGTTGCTTTATAAGAGTGACCTTGTTAAGCTGTAACCTGGCTGATCAATATAAATCTAGATTCTTCACCAGGCTTTCAAGCACACAGGCGAAAAAAAGCGCGAATACTAGCGCCCTATTGTGCTACCGTCAGCGATGTCCCGAGACAACGCTCATGCAGGGTCTCTTTTTATGTGGCTACTACATCCTGCTTTTGCTCTTGACATCGCGCGTTCTTGCACTTGTATGTTGTGCCTTCTTCCTTGCTGTAATGTTCTCCATGGTCATAACAAGCTTATAGAGGCTGCGCGCTAGTGTGATAATTTATCTATCGCTTTTCGTAGACTACTCTCTAGCTACGATTCCTGTTGTATATAGTATTGACTCTCAGCGTATTGACCATTGTGGCTTAGCCCCTTTTGCACTTGGCGGCGGGATGGTGAGCAATAAGAGCCGTGTAGGATTTCAGCAGGTGAAAGGCATCTAGGCCAGCTCAATGTTACATATATAGCTGAGGTGCCAGCTGAGCCTATCGCAGTCATGCATTGTGTGAAAGCAACTAAGTAGAGATACTTGACAACGATCATTTGTTAGATGTGTGCTCACTAAGAAGCTTAAGACGATAACGCATGCTCGCTCACATTGTACGAGTGCGAAATAATCTCGCGCTCACTTCTGTCTACTGCCACATTCAATGCTGATATTGGAGACGCGAGTTAGACTTTGAAAAGATTTGACGCGTGTTCCTCAGGTGAGATTTTCTCATGGCCGTGTGGGTGTGGACGAGGCCGTAACTGCGTCTGCACGTCAGATCCATGTTTAGCCAGGACCTACTCAGCGTGCGCATCTAGCCGAAATTTTCTGATATCGCAATAAGACCATCTTCTTCGGTTAACACTTCATAAGCACCGCGAAAAAAATATAAGTAGACTTCGATTTTAGAGTTCTGTATCACAATGTCCTAATCTAGAGGTATTCAATCCAAGCTCTCGGACTCTATTCCAGATCCACAACCAGTTAGGCTGTGTGGAGAGTGTAAACAGTATCTGTAGTATGGATATGAGGACCTTCCGGCAATATGTCTAATTAATATGTTTTGCGTGGAAGACGGCTTAGTATAGCCGGTTCGAAGTGACTCATTCTTATGTCAGTGATGATAACAGTATCTAGCATAACGTAATATACTGGTGTAAAACAAAGAAAACTGCCATTAGTTTTTTACTCACAAAAATCAAGATGAAGTTACCGTATTTTCTGGACCATATAAGCCTTGCGCCTTTTTTCTCCGCGCGGCATTGTGTATTCCTGAGCACCAATGACCGGCTTAATGTGAATGTATGTTTACTGGTGCTAGACTGACTGTATGGACTTTTAGGAGCAGTACTACCGAGACCACTGTAGGGCACTCACTTATTCTATGGAATATGTACAGGTCTCTACCGATTACATCATATATACATCTATGGGACGCTCTATGGCCGGTTCCGCGCCCCACCACAACATATAAGCGGACCGAGCTTCGACAGCAGGCAGAAGCGCTGTGGCGGCAAAAGCAGTCGCGCGCGCTCCCTCCCTTGTTTTCCTTGCTGTGACAGGCTGATATAGATAGCTGGCGATTTCGCCAAGCTACCGCTCGGCATGGGACATCCAGAGTGTAGATGTGTACAGTAGTGCAGATATCCTGAAATTCTGAAAACTCGCAGTAGTCTATAAACAGACAGAGCCAGCTCTAACGTATACTGAGAGGTTTCTGATGATTGGATGCTCAGGCATTGATAATGTAAAGTGCGGGCGAGCGACTGTCTACAGGTTGTGTTTGTCTTGAAATGTTTGAAATGTGTTGTTTAAGTTTCAGAGATGTAACCTCAACAGAACCTAAAGATAGAAAAGTGCATGGTTATCAGTGTCTGTAGCTCACTCATCGGTATCTCACATCGTCACCGGCGTATCTTTCTCTCTGATTCTGCATATTGTGAAACCTGTGAAGACAAGAAACTAAAAAGATAAATAATCCGTACAACAATCCAGAAACAAACCAAAAAATAAACGGCATCGAAGATTTTTTCTCCTCAAAAAATTCTCCTGAAGCACATAAACATAATCCTTTAAAAAAGTTACAGACAAAGTAAGTAGACCGTAGCACGTTATTCCTGGCTATAAGCGGATGGTCGTGTTGTCAACAGACAAAGTTACAAAGTGCTTGACAAAACAAATAAAGACATCATCACATGTAAGTGGATATTCCCGGTGACAAGTTGTAGATCATGGACAACATGTTCTTTTATTTCCTCGCGATAAGATGGGCCTTGATACGTTAGAGACTGGTGTAAATAGGAGTCATGGAAAAAGCACACTTAAAACATATAAAAACACAATAAACACAATGAAAACAAAATAAAAACATAGTATAAAATGGAATAAAATCAAGCACACCGGTTACCCAAACGCCTGCCGAAACAGGAATGTCTTTAAATTAGCTTTAAAGGAGACAACAGAGTCAGCAGACCGTAGATGAGCGGGCAGAGTGTTCCATAGCTTAGCTATGGAAGCTAGCTTTCTTTTTTTTCTTTTAGCATAGCTTTCCATGGCTTCGAACGCTCAATCACCGGGGGGCCTAACCCTTGACCCTTTGTTAAAGTGATTGTTTTCCATAATCTGAGTCAGTGTAAGCATGTAGATGTTAAACAGAAGAGGCCCCAGGATGGAGCCTTGAGGAACTAATTATCATTTGATCAGAGATAGTAACAGTCTGTAATTTCATGTTAAAAGTTAAATATGTAAGAGTAATACAACTACCTTTTTGAGGAGTGTTGATAATATAAATGCACGTGATTTAATAGTGAACAATTAATATCTTCTGTCTCTTGTCTTCAGCACAAACACTTCACTGAAGACATCCAGACGTGTCAGTACCGCTCTGCGGAGGTTCTGATCGGGGCTGATTACGACACACCGTCTGACATCTGGAGCACCGCCTGCATGGTAATACAAACCCTTACATGTGCTTTTCCTCTCTTCTCTTCCTGTTTCATTCCATTATTGCCATTTCTTGTTTACTGTAGGCTTTCGAGCTGGCCACAGGGGACTATCTGTTCGATCCGCAATCAGGAGCCACATTCTCCCGCGAGGAAGGTTTGTATTGTTCACTGCATCCCTTTTGATCTTGATTTCACTCATTTCGCTAGAATAAGTGTGCTTTGACCTATCTTAGATCACATTGCCCACATTATTGAGCTGCTGGGATCCCTCCCATCCCAGTTTGCACTGTCTGGGAGAAATTCCAAACGATTCTTCAACCGTAAAGGTGAGGTATACTTTATTGATTTGAAAAAATTGTATTTCAACTATTTATTTGCTTGATCAGTATTTAAAGGTAGGATAGGTAAGAATGGGGAAACCAGCTCGAGTGCGCTAGAATTTGAAAGTACGCAGCCGAAAAAAATCTGCCCCTTCCTTCAGACTTCCTTACAGAGCCCCTCCTCCAATACACACGAACGCGCACATGACCAATGAGGGCACGAGATAAGTTTGTGCACAGATGGAAGGCTGACAGGCAGGTAGGCCATCCAGTTATTTTAGCCGGGCCGGCTCAGATGATTGGTCGTGCTTTTTACAGCGCTACGGCTTCCACAGATGACATTTTGTTTATGTATTTATTGTCAAAGCATTGAATTTATTCATTGCTATCGGGATGTTAAGAGCATTCCATGGAATTTAACAAAACGTGTTTCTGAAGTGAATTACCTACCCCACCTTTAAAGTAGGGGTGTCAAAATGAACGCGATAATAACTCTTTAAAGCAACTTCCTTAACGCAACTTTCTTAACGCAGCACAAATTATTTTGACAAGATTAACTTAAAATTGGATTGTTTGCAAATATAAAAAACATGCGTTTTGTATAAAGAAATCATATTTGTCCACTTGATTTATCGCGATTAAATATTTGAATCTATTGGCAGCCCTAATTTAAAGTAATAATCTTAAAGAATGTCATTTAAATAAATCTCTGTAAAGTCACTATCAGTCAAATATAGTAACACATGCGTAAGGCACACGGATGAAAGCCCTTTGAATATGTAATACTACAAACTGAATGTCTTTGAAGACATCCGGGGAAAAAACTCCAAGCAGGAATCTCTTGGAATTGAGATCAAAAAACACCTGGAACTACCGGTTATTGCTATATATGTGAAGCCAAAGATAAAACAACCGATCTTTGAGATATAAACTTCAAAGCTTAAGCAGAATTGGAAAATAAAGGCCTTCTTCTGCAGCTCTTCGCACCACAGTACTTGTCATTCTTTTTAAACATCATCCCTGTAGGAATTGTGATCCAAATAGCGTTATACTGCTAAATTGCATAGGAATTCCTGTCCTGCTTTCTTTGCAAACTTGTGGGCTTTTAATCCTTTGGCTACGGTTAGGAGAAAGCTTAACTACTTGTAACTCCTCTCACTGAGACGCTTTTTCAATATTGCGTTAATTTTCAGACTTTTGTTAAGACCCTGTTCTATACACTCTTTATTTATAGACTTTATTTTAAACTGTACATCTTCCATGTTTGGGTTGCTTTGCAGTGTGGGTAGTTGTTGCCAATCACGGAATAGCTATCCGTAGATATTCAAAGGTTAAAGGAGGCTTTCACCATCTTAAGGGATGTGCATTAGCATTTTAAGAACAGCCAATAGGAAAGCCCCTTTTGCTGAAACGACCTGTGGTTTGCCAAAATCTTGCGTCACTGACTAGATTATCTAAAGCCTTAAAGCAGAGCCAAGAGGAGGTCAAGAAGTGTCATTTTTTATCAGACTTCTTAAATATAAGCTTATTATGTCAGTTTTACAAACTGCCTTTCCCTGCTTTCATATCTAAAGCAGACCAAAGCAGTGTTTCCGTCTACTTCTAACCCTTTGCAGGACAACTGCGACACATCTCCAAGCTGAAGTCGTGGAGTTTGTTGGAGATCCTGCTGGATAAATACGAGTGGCCGCGGGAGGAAGCCGTGCAGTTCAGCTCGTTCCTCGTGACCATGTTGGAGCTGCTGCCGGAGAAAAGAGCCACAGCCGCCCAGTGTCTGAAACACCCCTGGATCTCCTTCTAGACCTGACTTGTTCAACGCCCAGTGGACTAGCTGACATGGGACTTGGACAACTGTTGGATGAACAGCAGTCTGTCTGGTGCTGGCATCACGAGCACAGCTTTATAGATATGTATTACATTCATTTTTTTTGTAACCTTTTCGCAATCAGCTTCCTTTGTCTTTTAGTATTTTAAAGGGGCCCTTTTATGATAATGTCAGGTTTAAATTTGTATTTAGTGCCTCTCTACTGTGACCTGTTCACATGCTTTAATGTTCAAAAAGCTAATAGCTAGCTAATAGAAGCGCAGTGTTGCATAGTGATGTCACTATGTTCAAGTCCAAAGGAGGCGTTTCTGGCAGTGTGGTACGGAACTTTGGGATTTTAGCCTTTGCAGACCATTAACATGCACAAGAACCTATTTAACACACGACTACAGGAAAGGAACAACCCAAAAAGCTCAGTAGGGCCTCTTTAAATGTCCGTCACTTCTGATGAAGGCATAGCAATGACCAAAGAGAACGTTTGTCTGACTCGAAAACTGCCTTGTTTTATGATCACAGCCATCTTGAATATCAATAAACTGACATCAATTGCTTTTTCTTTCTCCTGCAGTTATTTTTAAAACAAGACCTCACCTTCAAGAAGTGCTTGTGTGAAAGGTAGTGGTACGCCAGTCTGAAGTATGAGATGGATTTATTCAGACAGCACTCGTCATCTTGAAGGAAAACTCCCAGGAGGGGACTGGAGAGGGTTGTATTATTTAAAAAGAAAAGCAGTCTGTGTTAGTAACAACATTTTAGGTGCTTTTCCGATTTTTTTTTAAATGAATAAATGATCAGCTCCAACATCTAGACATGCACAGTAGTGGTTGCAACAACACTCAGAGTGAGCCTAGATACATGCCAAGGGATCCTCCAGCGTGTGTGTGTGTGAGTTCATGCTCTCTCAGCAGAGCACGGAGAGGGGGATGGAAGGAAGAAGGAGGGAGGAGTTAGTCTCACATGAGGGCAGGCATATGTCCGCCTGCTAGAAGCCTCACATATTTTCCTCTCACGGCGAGAGGAGGGCAGAGAAGACAGGGAGCGCCGCCTGCCCTCACATGTAAGTCTGATTTCTGTTCAGATTTTAAAGACAGACCCTTGAAGAAAGCACCATGTGTTGTTGTCTGTCTAACCTGGTTTGTTCCTGTGTTGCACAAGGGAGACCACGGCTCAGGCTGCTACTAATTCCTGTTTTGAGCCTGAGAGTGTGCACTCGTGTTGTGAAACTGGCTGGAGGTGATTCAGTGCCAAACTGACATAGCTGGTGACACTCCTCAGTGCCATTTTAGGAACAAATACATGATATCTTAAATCATGCATTTTATCTTGTGTCTATATAAATATTTTTGTACATTTTTTAAAACATTTTTTTCAACATTTATATAATCACCCCTTATTTTTGTTTTTTCACTTTTTAATTTAATTTGATTTAATCTTTTTATTCTATTTTATATTATTGTAGTTGTATCCTTTATTGGACCTTCCTACTCTTAACACCCTTGTTTATACATACTTTTAAAATTATTTTATTTAGTCATTTTATTTTATTCTACCTAAAAATAGTACAAATAATAACAATTTGTATATTGTTTTTGTATTCATGTATTTGTCTATACCATTTTGAAATGGAGCAACTGTCACACCCCCGGATAAATAAAGTATTCTGCTTCTGAAATAATGAACAACTTTGAAATGTTTTCACTTTATATTCCTGTTTGTTATTTAAAAAAATCTCTCTGCACAGTGATGAGAACATGAAAAGCATGTGTTTACTAAACCATGCCAGTCTGCTCTTTGTTTGTAAATCTCTCACGGTGTGTTGGTCAGGAAGACGCCAAAGTAAAGGTTAGAGTACTGGCGCTCTCCCGTTTGTGACACACATCTGAACCCTCAGCCAGTTGCCATGCGACTCAAACTCCACATCAAAAGTAATTACCTCAAACCCTGCTGTTCTCTCACAGTTACATTATATGTGCAAGGTAATGTTTACAGCCGTTCTCTTCACAGCTTCTCCACAGAAAGAGCCCGTGTGTGAGGATTCTGGCTGTGCCTTTCTCCCCCTTTTTTTTTAACTCCAATTCATCAACACATTTATTGTTTCTGTGAGTGGGCCTGTGTTGTGTGTTTACCAGCTCTAATTGCAGTGGATATGAAATGATATCATACAGTGATACCAGCACATTGGGATACGTGTGGGTGTGCAGCTTAGACCTGGCAGCGGCTGATAATGAAAACAGGAGCCGAGAGAGTGTATTGTACGCTGCATAGTAAACACCCATCTCATTAGCCTCACACAAAGAGAGAGGGGAGATATGAGAGCTTTCATTTATTTCCTGCAGATGTGTTGTTATTGTGTGCATCGTTTATCACAGTTTCTATGACGCATCAGTATATATAACCATGCTGAAGTCATGTTTATTTCTCTGCTTGCAGGATGTGGCTGACTCTTCTGTACAGTATCACCGGTGGAGCTGCTCTCCTGTATGCCCTCTACAGATGGCTGATCCCAGCTGTTGTGCAGTATCATGCAGGACTGGCGCTGATCTGGCATGATGTCATTGTGGAGCGGATACTGGACACTGTGACCCAGTCCACTCGTCCTCAGGTGGGCCTCACATCTACAGTATTCACCAGCGCCCAACACACTAATGAACATTAATGATCATACAGGTGGAAGAGACTGAGACTTGGTAACGATGAAACTAAGTAAATTCCAAAAAGAGAAGACTCCACACACTAAGTAAAATGTAATTAGTAACTGACTAACTGACAGACAGCCATAGAGCATAGTTGCTAGTATATATGTTTTCTCTCCCACACACTCCCCCC